ACTGAACCTGATAGAAGAGAAAGTGGGAAGTACTCTACAACACATGGGCACAGGAGATCACTTCCTATATATAATCCAAGCAGCCCAGATATTAAGGGCAACATTGAGTAAATAGGACCTACTGAAACTGAGAAGCTTCTGCAAAGCAAAGGACACTGTCACTAAGACAAAAAGGCAACCCACTGATTGGGAGAACATCTTCACCAACCCCCAACAGACAAAGGTCTGATCTCTAAAATATATAAAGAACTAAAAAAACTAGACTTTAAAATGCTAGTTAACCCAATTAATAATTGGGGCACTGAACTGAACAGAGAATTCTCAACAGAAGAAGTTCAAATGGCCAAAAGACATTTAAGGTCATGATCAACCTCCTTAGCGATCAGGGAACTGCAAATCAAAACAACTTTGAGATACCATCTTATACTTGTCAGAATGGTTAAAATAAAAAACACCAATGATAGCCTTTGCTGGAGAGGCTGTGGAGGAAGGGGTACCCTCCTCCATTGCTGGAGGGAATGCAAACTTGTGCAATCTCTATGGAAAGCAGTGTGGCCCTTTCTCAGGAAATTTGGGATCTACCTACCCCAGGACCCAGCAATTCCACTCTTTGGAATATACCCAAGAGATGCCCTATTATACTACAAAAGTGTTTGTTCAACTATGTTCATAGCAGCATTATTTTTAATAGCCAGAACATGGAAACAACCTAGATGCCCTTCAATGGAAGAATGGATGAAGAAATTGTGGAATATATACATATTAGAGTACTACTCAGTGGTAAAAAAAAATGAACTTTGCATGCAAATGGATGGAAATAGAACACACTATCCTGAGTGAGGTAACCCAGACCCAAAAAGATGAACATGGGATGTACTCACTCATAACTGGTTTCTAGCCATAAATAAAGGACATTGAGCCTATAATTCGTGATTCTAGAGAAGCTAAATAAGAAGGTGAACCCAAAGAAAAACATATAGTTATCCTCCTGGATATTGGAAGTAGACAAGATTGCTGGGCAAAAAATGGGAACTTGGGGGTGGGGTGGGATGGGGGAAAGGGGAGATGGAGAGAGAGATGTGAGAAGGGGAGTTTGGGAAGAGCTTGGGGGAATGGGATGGTTGTGATAAAGAAAGGGTGGATATGGGAGTAGGGAAGTATATATCTTAATTAAGGCATCCATTTTAGGGTTGGCAAGAGTCTTGACTCTATAGGTGTTACCAGGGGTCCAGAGAGATATCCACAACCAGGTCCTTGGGCAGCTGAGGAGTGAGAGCCTGAAATGGCCCGATCCTATAGCCATACTAATGAATATCTTGCATATCACCATAGAACCTTCATTTGGCGATGGATGGAGAGAGAGACAGAAACCCACACTGGAGCACTGGACTGAGCTCCCAAGGTCCAAATGAGGAGCAGAAGGAGGGAGAACATGAGCAAGGAAGTTAGGTCTTCGAGGGGTGCACCCACCCACTGAGACGGTGGGACTGATCTAATGGGAGCTCACCAAGGCCAGCTGGACTGGGACTGAATAAGCCTGGGATAAACCCAGACTCGCTGAACATAGCAGACAATGAGGACTACTGAGACCTCAAGGACAATGGCACTGGGTTTTGATCCTACTAAATGTACTGGCTTTGTGGGAACCTAGTCTGTTTGGATGCTGACCTTCCTAGACCTGGATGGAGGGGGGGGAGGACCTTGGACTTCCCACAGGGCAGGGAACCTTGACTGCTCTTTGGACTCAAGGGGAGGGACAGCAGAGTGGGGGGAGTGGGAGGGAAAAAGGAGGCGGAAGTTTTTAATAAAAAAATTACTCTTTTATGAAAAAATAGTGGAGGGAAATAACATATATTGAAAGTAGACTCAGCAGCATGAAACTAGCGTATCTCATCTATTCTTTCTTCATTTTGCCTGATGTAAAAATAGTTCTTTCAACCCTTACTGAGATTATTATTTTTAATATTCAGTAAGCAGCTTTCAGTTAACCTTTCATTCATTTTTAAAATTGTAAAAGATGTTCAATCATAATTTTCTCAAAAATAAATCTCTTTGAAGATCCCCTTAAAAAAGATCATGAAAAGAGTGTGACGGGAGCACGGCATTCACGTGGCAGGGACAGTGGCAGGAAATGTAGTAAGGAGCATGGCAGGAGTATAGCTAGTGTGTGGCAGGGAGCATGGCATGGAACATGGTAATGAGCATGGCAGGGAGTGTGGCAAGAGCATGGCAGGAGCATGGCAAGAGTGTAGCAATAGCATGGCAGGAACATTGCAAAAACGTGGCAAAGAGTGTGGCAAGAAGTATGGCAAGAGAGCAGCAGGGAGCATGGCAGGAGTATAGTGAGTGCCTGGCAAGAGCGTGGCAAGAGCAGGGCAGAAGCATGGCAGGAGTGTGGCAGGGAGCATGGCAATAGCATTGCAGGAGCATGGCAAGAGCATGGCAGGAACGTGGCAGGAGAATAGCAGGGAGCGTAACAAGGAGTGTGGGAGTAGTGTTGAAAGGAGCATGGCAGGGAGCATGGCACATAAGATAGGTGATGCTGGAGCAATAGCTGAGAGCTACATCCTGATCCTCAGGCTGAGAGAGACAGAGAAAGACATAGAGTTAGGGAGATGGAGAGTGAGACGGGAGAGAAAGGGGAAGAAAAAAGGAGAAAGTGGAGGAGAGGAAGAAGAAGGAAGGAGAGGAGAGAGAAAAGAGACTCATCTTGGCTTGGGCTTTTGAATCCTCAAGGCCCATTCCCGGTGATATTCTTCCTCCAAGACCACACCTCCTAATCTTAATCCTTTAAAATATTGCCACTCACTAGTGACTAAGCACTAAGCATTTAAATATATGAGCTTATGGGGGTCATTTTTATTCAATGTACTAAAGTCCCACTTAAAACATTCAACAACTTGTCTCATTCAAAGTCCCAGAATATTCCATATTCTTCTAAACAACGGTGAGCTCAGGACTATCCCAGAAATGATCGAGTGCCTGGCAACTTCTGTTTTAGATACTGTTGTATTGCTGTGAAGAAATACCATGACCAAGGCAACTCTTACAAAAGAGTTACATTTAATTGACAATTTAGAAGATTAGTCCATGATCATAATGGTGGGAAGTAGACAGGCATGGCACTGGGCACTGGACTCTGGAGCAGTAGCTGAGAAATTTACATTCTGATCCACAGGCAGCAAGCAGAGAGAGAAAGAGAGTCACTGAGTCTGGCATGCGCTTTTGAAATCTCAAAGCCCATCCCCAGTGACACACCTCCTCAAAAAAGGCCTTTTCTCCTAATCATTCCTAAACAGTTCATAAACTAGAGGTCACTTTCATTCAAATGACCATATCCACCATCCTTTTTTTTTTAAAAATTGATACAGATTCCAAAGAACTCCAAATATTCAAAACAACTTTAAAAGAGAAGAATAAAGTTGGAGAATATGCATTGCTTAATTTTGAAATTCATTATAATGTTATAGTAATTAAAACAGTATGCTATTGAAAAGAGGCCTGATATATAGACCCACCAAGCAGAAACAGGGTCTTAAAATAAATACAAATTTAGCCAGGCGGTGGTGGCACATGCCTTTAATCCCAGCACTCGGGAGTCAGAGGCAGGCAAATCTTTGTGAGTTCAAGGCCTGGTCTACAAGAGCTAGTTCCAGGAAAGGCTCCTAAAGCTGCAGGGAAACCTTGTCTCAACAAACCAAGAAAGAAAAAGAAAGAAAAAAGAAATAAATACAAACTTATTAGGATAACCAATTTATTATCAAGGTACCAAAACCATTAGTTAAGGAAAAGACTGACTTTCCAATAAATCATCTTATGAAAACTATATTTCCATATATAAGATAACAAAGTTGGAACCTTATTTTTATCATATTCAGAATATAGCTTGAAATAGATCAAAACCACCAGTGTAGATGTAAAAGTAGAAAACTGTCAGAAGAAAATGTAAGAAATCACTTTATTTGGCAATGCTTTCTTAAGTTTATCTGACAACAAAAGTATAATAAAAGAAAAAGTAAAAGGAAAAATAGAGAAACTAAACCTCAACAAAATAACATACTATAAGAGTAGTAAAAAATATCTCCAAAGAGTATAAGAAATTCTTTTGTGGAAAGTTTGCAATAGATTATGTACATTCTTAAATATTTAACTTTAAATGGCTATCCTTCAGTAGATTCTCTTTTTTTTCCTTCAGTAGATTCTTATAGTGTTTAATAAATGACATTCTTTCTTTGATCTTTGCCAAACATGATGCTTCACCATCTTTTAGCCTTCCTATTATTATGTAAAAAGTTCAAATTCATGACAATTTTCTATATTATCTATTAATATTTTGTTATCAAATATAACATAAATAACTTTTTTCAAAGCTCTTACCAACATATTGCATGTTAAACAACACTTTTTGACCAGTCATACATATTTTATATTTTGAAATGCATTTACAGTCTATGGTATCTGCAAAGGACGAGCCATTATGTATCCATTTATGCTAAAAAGAGGGAAAATGAAAAGTAGTGAACATTGAAAAGGCCATGGAATTTGTGTATTGTATATTTCACTATTACTAATAGGATCACGTTTTGTAACAATTGCAGCAGCTTCTGTGTATTTATTCTGTGTGCATGCATTCAAGTTTTTATCTGTTCGAAAATTAGCAGAAAACATCTTACCCATTTCTGTTAATGTTACTTCTCCTTGCATACCCTCATAGGAAGCCAATTCCTGTCAAAGTAGAAAAAAACTTTCAGCTGATGATTTAGTAAATATTATAATATTTAAAATATTTATTGAACATTATGACACAGGTATCCTGTGATGTGTTAAAAAAGAAGTCAGACTTGATCGTAGTTATCTACAAATTAAAATATGAAGCAGCAATACAACACAAATTAGGTAGATAAGTAGTTGGCAGCTAGATGATAGTCGACTTATAGAGAGATAACAGACATATGATAAATTTGATATCTCAGTTTTGTGAAGGTTAACTTTCTGAATTACTAGCTTTGGGTCCAGTAAGAACCTGTAAAGAACCTGTAAAGAAAAACTTGTTTGTGGGCAGTCACAATCACAATGTTTATTTTTATTATTTTACAGAAAAATTCGTGACATGTTTTTGCCTAACTTTTGCTAGTGTAACTTCAGAATTTTAAAATTATGCCATGTATTATTATTATTAACATTATTATCATACATCCAAATTATTTCTTTTGTGATATTTATCTCATGCTTGAAAAGTAATAAAATATTTATTCTTGCTCTTCTTTGTCTGTTTATTTTTGTTGAGGACATTAATTTTACAAAGTTCTGGGTTTTATTGTCTTACATTCTTAATAATTGCTTTGTGTGTATATTTTTGTGACTGTAAACACTGAGATAGAATGTCACCATCAAATCTACTCTGTCAATCCCATGCCATTAGTTGAAAAACCCCTCTTTTTTTTCTGTGATTTGAAATTCCCCTTATTTCAACTACCACAGTATCACGTGTACTGTAGAGAACTTCTAGACTCTAAATTTCACTGTGTGAGACAGAGACAACACAGAGTAGACCAAGATGTGAGTGACCAGCTTCCCAGCTGGATAGCCCAGACTTTGGGCCCTAGGCCCTGGGACAAAACCCTGGGCCTCTCCCCCACTCATCTCAGTGGCACTAGCCAATAAGCTGGCAAGGCTTCTGTGGGCAGACTGTCCCACCACCCCCACATCTGGCCCTGTAACCTACAAGTCCCACTCCATCCCCAAACCCATGTGACCTCAGAGCTCCCTGAGACAGAGACAGCCGCTGCACTGATCCCTCCAAGAGAGGATTACTGAGACACAAACACTGACTGCAACAATCTGACCAAGAGACAAAGATACTGCCTGCACCAATTGGAGGAAGAGGTGAGAAGACCCCAATGCAAGAATACATTCAACAACCTAAAGACAGAATGAAAAATTCCCTTAAACATGGAGGAAGGGGAAAATGTGGTCAGGGTGTCAAAATAAATAATTTTTTAAGAAAAAAAAAGAAAAATTCCCTTAAAGAAATAGAGGACAAAAATCGGAAGAAATCAATAAATCTCTCAAAAAAAAAAAGCCAAGAATAAAACATCAAAACAAATGAAGGGAATAGTTCAAGACTTGAAAATTGAAATAGAAGCAACAAAGAAAACACACCAAGGGAATTCTAGAAATGAAACATCTGAGTAAATGAACAAGAACTATAGGTACAAGCATAACCAACAGAATGCAAGAGATGGAGGAGAGAATCTCAGGTATTGAAGATATGATCAACAAAATAGATTCACTGTAAGACGTAAAGACAATTCTAAAGCCATTTTTGACAATTCTGAATCCTCTCAACCTCCGTGCCATAGTGCTTCCCCCTCCTCCCCTGGGAACCAAGGACCTAACAGCTACACATGCACATACTCAGTTCCTGAACAATTACCCATATACGTATGTTTTGATTCAGTCCCCTGGGAAATGGGGTCAAAATGATCTCTTACCTCATCTGATCTGGCAAGAGCTCTCCAGCCAATTATTGATAATAGCCCTTTTGAATAAGCCAATCACAACCCCCCTTGTTTCTGTGGCCTTCTCCTTTAAAAGTAGCCTGTGCCGACCACATACTCGGTAACAAAGCAAACTTCCCCAGTTACAAAAAAATATCCGTAACCTCCTGTGTCTTATCAGATCATCATGGATTAAAGTTAGAATTCAACAACAATGCTACCCCCAGAAAGCCTACAAACTCATGGAAACTGAACAGTCAACTACTGAACCACACCTGGATCAAGGAAGAAATAAAGAAAGA